CCTGAATTAATTATCCACACCGAACTCCTAAAACTCACAAAAAAAAAAAAAAAAAATGACAAAAGATTTCCCACTTACAAAGTCATCCTCCACCACGTGACACAACTAATCTCATAGTCTCAAAAACAGCGCACGATTATTGAACTCATTTTTCCGTCCCGCTGCCGCGGGGTTTCTTTGTCACAGAAAGTTATATTTAAGTGGCTTCTATACACGTGCTCGTAATGAGGAAGCTGTTCGTTTAGAAGCAACAAAGAACAGACAGCCAATGATATATCCACACACGCGCGCACATTCACACTCTCACATATCTGAGCCTTGAAAGTAGCGTCAATTCTAAATGGAATTTTCTTTCGTACGCGAGGAAAATCGAAACACGAACTTATCCTCCTCTTATGTACAACATTTTAACATGTATTACACGTTTCCTGGAAAGCTTGTATGCATCATGCTGACGACCATGTTGTTTGCTACGTGGGTTCTCTGTATTGTTGCGGTTTTGTCCTCCTCTCGGTCGTTGTTCGTGTATATATACCCACCGCTGTCGTCATAGTTCCTCTCGGTGAGGATTTTCACGAAAATAGAATTCACGCGTGGGTAAAACGACGCGTGCGAAGTTTGAAAGTGTCGTTAAGGAGAGTTACGTTCGCCACTTCTTCCATACGGTTCTGTTAGAACCGTTGACATCGCGTCGCATTAGCCTGGCAATTACATTTCCGCTTATTTCGCAGAGAGGGAAGAGGAGCTTTTGATGTCTCGGGATATATCGTCGTTCGTTCCCTACTAAATACGTTTTCTTCTTCGTCTCTCAGCTGCTGTCGTTCTCCTGTCAGTTGGAGGAGGTTCCGTAGGAACTATGTTGGTTCTGTAACCCAGTTCAACAGCGACGCGTTTCTGATTGTATTAGCCTAGCTGGGCTCCGGGATAATACGTTTCTACGACTTCAATTTCGATGGTAGAGAGTAGGTAGAACATTGCAGCGAAACTGTTTTTAGCGATTCGATTCTTGTTCGAGGGAATTTCGGTGTTATTTTGGGCGATGTTGTTGTTGTACAGTAGATTTCCGACGTAACGCTGTTAACACTTTGCTGTCGGGAGACTAGTTTTCTCTAGGGCCTGTTTTTCATTTTTTGAGAATTTTGTGCCAGAATCTGTGCCACGAGTCTGTCTCGTTGTTATAAGGTTAATGTTATTAACCCACTCGGGTCCAGCGACTTTTCGAAAGTCGCTCTCGAGGAGCCAAAATTTGTTTTCTTTTTATATAGGGTTTTACGTCGCATCAACATCGAGGTGATTAGCGTGGTTAAGCACTTAGAAACTTCTTTGCAAGTATTCTAATGGGAATGCAAATTTTGTAAGGACGTGGAATTTATTTGATAACGACTTCTTCTATCGTTGTATGTTGTATGCAAAATTTTTTTTTTTTTATATAGGGTTTTACGTCGCATCAACATCGAGGTGATTAGCAACGAGCTTTCACAATGACTTCAGATTTTGTGGAAGAGGTTGGTTTCATTAAGGAATTCAATAGTATTTCTTGCATACTTTTCACACATAAGGGCAGTGTTCGAGTTGATTTTAAATTTGAGGCGTTGGGTAGAAAATTTTTGGCAGTCGTACAAAAGGTGGTGTACTCTGAGTAGGGCTTCGCAAGATAAGGGAGGGTCTGTCTTCTTTTTGAGCAATTCATGTGTCATCTTGCAATGACCAGTTCTCAGACGAGAAAGAACGATTCTTTCTTTCCTGTTCATGTGACCGCGTGGGATATCTTGAGGAAAATTTGTATTACGCTATCGATTTTTGTTGGTTTCGATTTCCAGATATTATTCCATTCTTCTTTAATTTTTTCTTTTTCGTAATGGATAATTTCTTGAAGTGGGATAGGGGTGGGATTTGCTTTTCTTTATATCGAGAATTGAGAAAAGAAAAGATGTTTGGGAGGTGAAAAATTAACATTGTAGACATTTTTCGTACAAATCAGGCCATGACACATCGTGTATGTGTGTCTGACACTCGCTTTATGGTCCTAGATTGAAACCAGCGCAGGTTTTAACCCTTTGCAATCGAGTTAACACTTGGTAAATAATTAAGCAAGACAGAGAGCAGACCTACGATCCTGCATAAATTTGTTCGCCATAGTGAAATAGAGAATACATTACACAATATTTAAATAAAATAGTACAGTTTACTTCTACGTTAGTTTTCAAAAATTTCAAATTCTCCTTCGGTTACATAAATACACGTGTATCGCGTGTTTTCTATCGGTGTAACACACACACACTCGCTATGGTAGATTTGAAAAGCAATTCCTTTGTTAATTATCGATTCGTCGATAAATTAAAAAAAAACAGGAAACAAGGTAAATTGTTATGATATCGTGTAGTTTCGTGTCATGTTTCAAGATCCCATTTACAACCTTTCTTGTGGCAAAACGATCTCCGAGTCCAAAGGGTTAATATCTACCAACCTTGAACTTTTATTTTCTTTGAAAATGATCTTATTTCCATGATTAGTGCTTCAGTAGTGACATGGACATTACACACCAGGTGTCTGATTATCCTAGAATAGGGTCGCGACATAATGTTAACGAATGATTAAATCATATTTTATTATAACAATATTACTGTTATTCTATCCAACGTTATTATTATTAGGTCAATATTGCTATTACGTTGGACAATATCGTCAAAGCTAATCATCATCAGTCTCTTTTTCACGAAGTCATTATAACATAATTATTTTCTAGTTACCATAAATATACTCTATTTCGTGTAATCATCAACCTTGCTCCAGTAGTCTTGAGTAACGCTGAAGATCTTCACACGACTTTTAGACAAAGTCAAGACAAGACAGCGTGTGCTCGCCAGGATACATAATTGTGAGATAAAATCATCCCACCTCGTACTTAATCTTGCAATTTGAAAAAAAAAAATAACCAAATTATTCCAAGCTAATTTGTAAATTCTTCGAAGAATGCGAAGCCAGCTCGTTATCTTCCAATTATTCCTGCTATCTTGAATAAGAAAGTACGATTAGAGGTAATCCTTTCTTCTAGAGAAGTTGCATGACGAGATCACAGTTACGATTGCGTTAAAACGCGATCTATTCTGCGAACAATATGCAGTTTAGAAAAGAATTTCGTTGCATTTCTTACACCTCATTTACGATTGATTCGACGGTGTTAACAAGGTGAGCAATATTGAAGGTATCTCTCTGTGGTGTGTTAAAATTAACACTGGAAAACACGCTTGGGAAATATATCCTTCGAGATATTATTTTGAAGTAGTGTGTCGGCAGTTTGTTTCGCGATTACTTTGTTTTTAAAGTGCAACTCAAGTAACATTCCCATTCAGATAATGGGAGATAATGGAATAGTGGAAATAGCGTACGCCATTCGCACAATCGTACTTCTCTCTCTCTTAAGTGCCATTTGAATAATTGCTATCCTTATGCCTGATTCTTATTCTCCTTCGGTTACATAAATACACGTGTATCGCGTGTTTTCTATCGGTGTAACACACACACATTCGCTGTGGTAGATTTGAAAAGCAATTCCTTTGTTAATTATCGATTCGTCGATAAATTAAAAAAAAAACAGGAAACAAGGTAAATTGTTATGATATCGTGTAGTTTCGTGTCGTGTTTCAGTGAACAAGAGCTTCATAAATTTCCGATAAAGTTCCTTGAATTTTCCTGTTTAATTGTATATAAGGAAATTGCAAGTTGATAACTATTATCGAATACGAACATTTTGTCCAGATTCTTGTGGCAATTTTCTAAACAGATCTTGTCAATCATTGGCAAGTGCTTTCGTAATGTTGTTATTAATATTTTGTACCGATAATTTCAATAATAATTCGAATTGATATTAATAGAAAAATATAATATCGCAATGAACGACGTTTCTTTAACCCTTTCGTTTAACCAGCGGGACGCATATGTTCCACTTGAGCACTCGAACAAAAATTGATCTCAATTTAGTGTCCATTGCAGGCGAGATGCTCAGCAGATGAATAGAAAATTCTTAAAAAACAAAAAGAATTATTTGGTCGCGAAAGGGTTGGATCATCCTGTACCAGATTTTCTGCTGTAAGAAAAAATTGCGGCATCGACAAATGTATCCCGAAAAACGTAAATGACAAGAAGACTAAAGAAGCTTCTAAAAAAATACAAATCTTCCACTAATAAACCAACTTTAGTATTTTATGCGACTTAAAATAAATGAATTTTAAAAAATATATTATAAATACAATAATATTTTTTA